AAATTGGATTTCTTGATTTTATCGGTTGAGGCTAAGTTGCTCGAGCCGAGCAATGTTCCACCAAAAAGCTTCTTCCTCTGCCCACGAAGCTTCCACAGCATAACGTCTGTAGCACAAGGGAGGGGCAGGAGGTGCTGGGGAGAACACAGCCCTGTGTTAGTTATGGCTCCCCCAAAACCATCCTGCCTGTGCCCGAGTAACAGGCCCACGCTGCTTCTCCATCCGCCCTGGAGGACAGGCTGGTGCTCACTTGGAGGGATAGGAGATTGCAAAGAACTTGCTGGGTACTGGATCCCAGCCTGACTAAGTCCAGAGATGACTGCAGGGGAGTGAAAAAGAACTGAGGTGTTCAGCTGTTGCTTGAAGCCAGAGATTAAGGAATCCCACCTTTCCGGACAGTGGGGAACAGATCTACTGCTCACCCCAAGCACACTGGTTAGATCACGTCCCAACATCTCTAGAACACGGCACAGCAGTGCCCCATCCGATGGCTAGAAACGCACCATGAGGCCACACAAGCAAAGGCAATGCTTGTTGATATAGCTACAGTGGGAGAGGGCAGCGCATCCCAGGATAGCGGACAGTTCTTCATCTCTGAGAGCTGAAGGGCTTTAACACACAAGAGATTTGACTCTTCTGAGCAAGACCACAATAGTAGGGATGAAGTAGGGCAAAATTTTCAAGAACATCTCGAGGACTTGGGAGCCGAAAGTCCCTTTTTCTAAAATGTTTTCAGCACTTGGGAGCAGTGTTCCCTTTCACTTTTTCCATCTGTGTGGAATACATTTTGTGTTGCGTGCCGATGCATGTGCACCACCAATAGAAACATGCCGCTGGCAGTGGGTGCTCTCCTAATCAGCTGAGTGGCACCTGAATCTCTCCTGGGAGGTTGCCCAAGCGCTCAGCTTATAGGGAACCCTTCTTGGGATTCTGAGTCAATGGGACTGAAGCTCTTTTGAAAACGTTTCCCCTTAAATCTTCCCAACCAATTTCAACCTAAAAGGAAAGGAGCTGGGCAGGGAGCTGCTCCACTTGAGCCAAAATCTCTCCATCAGGCTGCTCATCCAGGGAGAGCTCTGAAAGTCAGGCTAGCAGGCTGGTGAAAGCACTGCGTGGCAGGTTTAGGCCTCGGGTCTTTGCATGCCCCATGGAAGTCCTTAACCCTAATGAGTTCAATCAGGCTGGTGAATGCTCATGGAAAGACGCCCAAAAGATGACACTTTGAAAAAGGGAAAAAAAATATCTTGTAAAATCTCTGCTACATATAATTATTTGCAACCTCTGGCACAGCACAAAGCCTTCGGTACAGAACATTTATAAAAGAACAAACGTTTCGCGCCTCCCGTCCCCCACCCCTCCCCAAACTGTACAATAAAATACTCACATTTTAAAATATTTGATTATCAAAACCAGGATTGAATGAAACTCAACCTTCTCTCAAGTAGACTTTTAAAAAATAAAATAAACTAAGACTGTGCACCTCCTTGCATTTCCCCCCTTGGCATCCAGAGCGGGGAAGAAAAAGACCCAGCCGCCTTTCTACGGGATGCACGTTTCACAGCAGCCCTGTTCGCTTGCATGGCAAACAGTTATTTTTGGTTTCCAGCTGACACTTGGGTTACGTTGCTGCAGGCCCACGGGGCATATTCGATAGGCCTGGGTGTCGTTTCCCAGGAGGGTGAGCACAACCGGCTGCTCCCGTGGGATTTCATAAGGGAGGATTCCGGAAGGTGCGTCCCTGCACGGATTTTATTCCAAGGAATGCAGGATCCAACCTGTCAAGTGGCATCTGGGAAAGGGGCTGCCTGCCAGAGCTGCAGAATTCTCCACTGGATCCTTTAAATCTGAGGGTTACAAACTACAATTTATGTGGGCCCCACTACTGCAGAACCGGAGCATCTAACTAAGCCCACCAGCACCAAAATGCGTCTAGTGCAGGGGTTGCTCCCACGTGTTGCACATACCCCTGGGAGTATGAGACATCTCTGGGAAGAACTGTGCAAGAGTAGGGATGGAAAACTTAAATTAACTGGCTAATTGAATAGTCAATGCAATTTGCATCAACTATGTGATTAGTCAATAAGGGCGCCGTTGCCTTTGAAGTGCAGCAATAGCCCCAGGGCTGTTGCTGCACTTCAAAGGCAAAAGCGCTACGGGGAGCATGGGGCCAGTGGGGGACTCAAGCAGTCCTCCCATTGGCCCGGTGGCGTTTCAAAGTGACAGCACCACATGGAGCCAGGGTCAGCGGGGCATCCCCAGGTGACCCCAGGCTGCATGCAGCGTTTCAAAGCAGCAGACCCTGGGCTCCATGCAGTGCTGCTGCTTTGAAGCGCCTCCCCCCACCCGGTCCCCTTGCCGCCAGAGCAGCAAGGTGGGGAGAGGGGAAGTGATTAGTTGACTAGTTGTTGACATCCCTATACAAGGATGGATCTTGCTACACATTTTCCTACCAGGCTACTCAGATGAAGCTTTAAAAATAGGAATTTGTTATAAAACACTGGAGCTGATTTACTTCAAGACGTACCAAGGAGAAGAGAGCTGACATACGGAGCCCTCCCCGCCGATCACAGTGGCTGCAGGTTCAGTTGTCCAGCAACTCTCTGATCTAACTGAACTCAGAACTTTGGGGTAGGTTGGTTTGGCCTTGTGTGTCGCACTGTACACCTGTCCAAAACAGTGAAACAGACAGATGGCTCAAGGCGAGTAGTGTTATGGAGAGCACACCAAGTGCCAGTGCTGAGAAGAGCAGGGGTACACTGGCAGCTGGCAGAACTGGAAGGGGGTGGGCAGTATGTTTGGGAACCTCTGATCTAGGTAACGGAGCTGCCTGAATTCTAGTGCACTAAGCTGCAGTGAGCTGGGAGCCAGAGCGAGCCGACGAGTTACGAATGGGATAGCAGACACGGTCATCATCCAGCTAGAAGCAGCTCCTCCGGCCATGCACATGCCCAGCTCTGCCACAGAGATGAGAAACTGAAAGCACCACTGGAGAGAACTGACCACAGAAAACTCCCCCCTCTCCCCCCGAAAAAAAAAGATTCTAGCTGTAGGATGAAAAAAGGTTGAGTTTCTCCAATATCATTACAATAGTGTGCATACAGTACATGGTTTCTGTAGAAACAGGTTTCTTTCCTTATGGCCATACAGTTTCAGAGCGTTTGTCGCAACAGGCTCATTCTGATTTTCAAGGCCAGAGCTGCCCTCTCCTTTACGAGACTGGCAACGTTTATAGCTTTACCTTTCGGGACACGCTGTGGACTCAGTTCTAGCCACTCACAACAGATACTTGTGCCATTCTGTCGATACGATGTAACACACAAGCAGACGCCGCCACACTGAGCGGAAATGCCTGGGATCATTAGCACATTACAGCTAGACAGAAAAGAGCTGCTCTAAGCCTGAGAATACCCCATGGCTCAACAGCCACCAAGTTAGTGATAAAGTTATTTGGAACATGGTGAACTGCCATAGCTGAAGGGGAGAGCCAAATGCAATTATTGCTGTTCGCTCAGCGGGGCACCGATATAATCTACCCAGCAGGGAGGAGATTAAGCAGATGAGTAACATTTTTAAAAGCTCGTCTGCGATTTAAGCGCTTAAGTCCCATTTTCAAAAGCGATCATTTGAATCGCTCGAAGGAGAGAAGAGCTTTTGAAGATTTGACCCAAGGTCACTAGTGTCTGAATGCTTGTTTTAACAAATGATGAGAATGCAGTACAGGCTTAAGTCTTCTAATCCTTCAGCGTCAATAAGATCTCAGGCAGGATACAGAAAACATGGACACTTCTCATCTCGCTTGATAACAGCTATTCACAGACTGAATTTAGCCGTCATACGCGTCTAGGAAATCTGCTCTCTGGAGGGCACATTTGGCAAGCAAAAGTTCACCCTCGCTACTGCTCCACCCAAGGTCTGTTAGTCAAAAGATGGCACTCTCCCGCGGGATACTCCTGGTACTGTCACTCGGCAACATTTTTTGCACAAAATGTTTGTGTGGAAAAAACCCAGATTCTGCAACACTGAAGCACTTTGAATTTGCACTCAGTTCTCCACGTGGTCTGTAAAATACCGGGCTTATTTCATCTTTAAAAGGCTGAAATATTTGTTTGAAAGAACTTTGTTTCAAGATGTCCTTTAAAAAGCTCAGAAGCTTAAAAGTGCTTCTAATCAAAGTAACATTTTGAAAACCCAGCCGTAAAACGTCTTCTTTACGTTTGCAAAATAGCCAGCCCATGGTAATCCCAGTATCTGTCCAGTTCTGATCCCACTGACTCTGGAAGGATGGCCACCCCCGGGCAGCGTACACAAACTCACTTCCCGTGGAGCAGCGCACACGCTTTAAAAGACTCAGACCAGCAGATTTAATCCTGAGGAAATACACATCTGCCTTTTCAGGAAAGGTTGTATTTTTTCCACCACAGCTTAGCAGTGTTGTACCCACACAGATAGATCCAAGTACAGGCTGCACCTGCCAGGTCTGGCACCTCGGGACCTGACTGGTCCTGGATGCGAGATTTTGCCCGAGCAGGGGAGGTCATTTTTGGATCCCTGCCCTGGCCAGTGTCTCCCAGCCAGCTTCCCTCCTTCCGCTGGCCCCGTTGCCCTGCCAAGCCGCTGGGCAGCCATTGCTCCACTGGACAGCCCCGCTTGCCAGCCGAGCGCACCACGCCAGGGCTCCCTGGGTAGCCACGTGCACACTAGGGCTCCCAACTCTGTTGGGCAGCCACACGCTGGGGTCTCCCAATCCTTCTGGGCACTGAGTGGCCCCCCCATCAGCTCCCTTTGGGCTCCGTAGGGATCCTTCCTGCTGGCCCTCCACCCCAATGCTCTGGTCCCGCAACATCCATGCTGGACCATGGATGTTGCTGGAGCAGAGAATCCTGGTTAAGAGTTTCAACCTGTAGACTCTCACTGTGTGTACTGGATTCAAATCAAATAAAAAATCAG